AACTATCGATGTCGAACATTAAGTAACGATAGTAAGTGCACATTGTTTGCTACCATGATGCAAAAACCGCAAAACTGAGCCCCAATTACGACACATAACCCGTCACTACAACTGTATAACATTAAATGTAATGTAAGGTACGAAACATAAATGTAAATGTTTGTATTTGTAAGTGTACAGTGTAAAACAAGAGTGGACTTAATGGTTTTAAGTAAGAAAAACATTCCAATGTGATTGGATAAAAATTAGATTATTAGACAAAGTGGCACTATGCTGAAGCCAGTGATGATTATAAGTTTACATAAAAGGTACAAGAGTTTTTTTTATATATTTTATAAGGGGTGTTCTCTGGACGTACTAACGAAATAATATTTTCTTGTTTTGTAGTCTGTAGGTACTGAAAAGAAACATTTGGCTTCTATTAATTATTACAGACGTTTAGAACATTCTTGGTCTACGTATTTACAGAGACCTGGGTTATCGCTTCTTTTTTTAGATGTTAAGTAATATAATGTTAGTCCCTCATATTTACGGTAACACATTATCTTTCTTGTTTATTAATTAAACAATATATTCGAACTAGGTTACCATTAACTGAGCAACAATCAATTTCGCTGCAAGCTAAAATTATATCTAATGCAAGATTTGCACGTTTGTTAATTATTTCATTGGATTTTAAGTAAACGCTTGCAACGGATTGTTCATTATATAAATTAGATACGGTTGAAAATTCTATATCATCATTCTATTTAAACAATTATGTTTAAGCCATAGGATGTATACAACCGAAAAAATCTTTTGAAAGTAATATCATAAATAAACATATATTATCATTCATATTAAGATTGAATAGTTTTCTTATAATTATGATGACAACGTGTAGAATATGACAATGCTGTTAAACTTGTAAAACTGACTTAAAATTCTGTAAACTCTTGTAAACAAGCTTTTTCGGGGCTTTCAATTGTCATTAGTTTACTTCTTTTCTGCTGTGTACACTCATAATTTTCTAAAAATACATTTTTAGCGCTAGAATTGAACACTTAATATTCAAATCCTTCCATTATTTCTGGATGTGGTCAAAGCATTGTTCCCAGTTTCAAGCTGAAGTGATTTAATTAAAAAGTCTCGACTGACTGCTCAATAATTATTTTTTAGAAGCACGTTATGTAGTAATTATATTTATTATTCTTGCAATATTGCCTGCCACGGTGGTGCAGTATTTGCGTATGCAACTGCTGTGCTGAGGGCTCGGGTTCGATTCCCGTGTCGGACCAAATGTTTGTATTTTTTTTTTCTTTTTTTTTCACCGCAAGAATACAATGTTTTACAATAAGCATTTCAAAAACCACCATGGGTTTATCCGGAATGCTATCCATAAATACACATGAATCTTAAACATAAATACACCATACATAAATGTGTTGTATAGAAGTATGTAAAAACATTAGAATATTATCTACACCGTACACAATTCGCGAATACACGACCGAGCGCCGCGCATCAACGTAAACAAAAATCGGTCTTGAAACAAGTATTTGCACCAATCTACAGGTTTTTCAAAAAATAATTATATTTGATATTACGTTTTGTCATGCTTTGTACAAATGACGGGTCGAGGCTATTAATTAGTCAAATAATCATATTCTGAGTTGTTCTCTCACCGTAAACGTTAGTTGCACCAATTGTAATAAAGTTTTTATTAGTTTTTTGCAGCGTTAGTTTATTATGAGATATTTCATGAAGGATGTTGGAGTTGTAAAATTGTTTTTTAATGACATTATAAGTGATTTTGGTGTGTATCGGAAGTACATAAAGTTCACATTCGTTGCATTTATATTTAATTTTAATATTGAGGGGGACGATTTTTTTAATAATTGTAATTTGTAAGTTGAGGATGCGATTAAGGTGGGTCTTATAAGTTCTACCATAACTAGTTATACTATCAGTTAATCTAGTTTTCTTAGTACAAGCTCTCTTAAGCTTAAGCTTAAGCTTTGAAACTGGATGGCGTTATGTGTCAGATTTCGGAAAAAATATTATTATTGATATAAATGAGAAGTATCTTTATCACAAGGCATCATCGTTGACTGTTTTAGAACACATACAGTATTAAATCACCTTATTCCTAACAAAATATTTTGTTGATGATTGACTTTTATTCACAACAATTGATGTGATATTAAGTAATGCGTAGAAACTGAGTCAAGTAATAATAAGCTTAGTTTGAAGTAATTTCAAGGCAAGGTCCAAATAAATATTGCTCACTCAAGGTTTGGGTAGTAGTTAAGCTCAGTATAGTTTAATTTCACTAGAGTTAACTTACTCTTGTGAAATGATGTAGTGATCTATACGAGAGTTTAATTTTCAACACTATATATTTACGACCTGCAACGTTCACATTAAACTAATACTGTGGAGTGATAATAGGTAATGTGTATTAAATTCAAATTTCATGCCATTGAATTTGATTTTCATGATGCCGGCTTTCGTCTATTGCCTATGGATAACTAGGTCAAGGATCAATGGAACGCTTGTTTGCTTTCATATCGAATCAAATCAAATATAATGCACATATAAACAAAATTAGGGAATTTATAGATTTTTTTAGGCTCGTCGTATAGTTTAAATACTGGCATTTGGATATGCAATGGAGGAATGACTCACAAGATACAAAGTGCATAATAAATTGTCTCTTTAAACTTCTTCTATAATCAGGCAAAGCAAAGAAATAAAAAAATAACTGTTTTCAATCTTTGTGCAGAATAACACACATTTGAGATAGACCGAATGCAGAGGATTCTTGTTACAGGATGCAATATTCTTTGTGTGCGAATATGAAATGCATTTTACTTTCGCATTACCTTCACCGGGTCCGTAATGAGGCCCTATGTAAATGCTACTTCATTTACATGCATACTCATCCAAATTATAATCTGTTTATACCACGTAATTAGTATTCCACACGTTCTGTCTTGCTTAACAAGCAATGGTCGTTTTTGTTAGGTTTATAAAGGAACTATTGGCAGTATGTATTTTGTTAACTTTTTAATTTAGTTTAGATCATTGCTTGGTGTGACTAGATTTGTACTACAGCTGTTCCTCTCAGACAAATCTCTTAGGTATGTTTTATGTCGTTATGCATTGTTCTTAGTCTTTCTTTCCTTGTATATTTTGTTGTTAGAATTACTACTATGGTCGTTATCGTGACGGTAATTCTTCGATGTTTTATTTTGATTACAGCATGGGGCGTCTATTGATATTCATGTAAAAATTTAAAGCGAAGTTCCATTTGATACACACTCACCTTGGTAATCTTACTTCGGTTGCAATTGCTTTTAAAATACTAATTGGCATCAACATTTTCAGACTGTGCAATCCATTTAGTGTATATATTCAGCGTTCTATCAACGCTTCATTCGTTTTGGCTGTGAATGACGCTATTTACTCCTGTACATGGCTTGCGCTTTACTTATGAACACTCGTTTGGACTAGGTGTATACATCCTCATTGAACTTATAGCTGCAGAGCAGTACGGTCTGGTATCTTCACAAAACATAAATTTAGTTGTATTTTTCTTTAGCGCAAATGATTAAGAAAACGACCAACGTAATTGGGTACCGCAAATTTGTCAATCATTTACATGGCTCACCACCACGGACTACCAATTAGTGGCCAACCTTTGTTTTACTAGTACCAACATAGCTAACAATCAACAGAGCTTTCCCGACACTGTCAAATGGAAATGTTTGTGTACGAATTTAACACTATTCCCAACACAAACAGATGCATTATTAATATAACAAACAATGTAATCGGGTTACCAGGAGCTGCTAATGAAATATTCTAAGACCCGTAATTGTTTCTTGTTTTGGGTGGTTCATTTGACAGAGAAATTTAACTTGTAAAACAGGGAAGTTCATGTTTTTTTTTAATTTGATTAGTAATTCAATACCCTTTGTGTACCGTTGTAAATCGCCCAATAATGTGGTTAAACATTAATACCACCATTATGGTATGATAATTTATTCTATTGGACTATCGTTATCTATCTCTGTAGTATTAGTACCAATTTTTAGTTTTTTTTTTTGCCAAAATCAGAACTTACATACGACTCTCAGCAAGATTTTTAAACGGTTTTTTTAACTACTCGCAATTTATTTAAATTTTTAATCACACAGCGATAGCTATACGCTGCACAAATCTAACATTATGTTAATACTTAGCTTTTACCCGCGGCTCCACTCGCGTGTATGTCGGTTATCAAGGTAAAAAGTAGCCTATGTTACTCGCTAATAATTTAGCTTTCCGTTAGTGAAAGAATTTTGAAAATCGTTTGAGTGATTTAGGCGTGAAAGCGTACCAAACAAACAAACTCACTTTCACATTTATAATAAAAGTATGGAAGTAGAAGTATTCTTTTGCATTGTAGATAAAGTTATAGCTCTCATTTTTATAAAACTAATAAGTACTACTAACTATCACTCTAAATATGTATCTATATTTTTATCATTATTAACAGATTCAAATAGCTCTAAGCCTAAGTGGCTATTGAAACAACTTTATAATTCTCAATATCGCTATGTTTGTCTGAAAGTTGAACTTTGTGGGTGTGTGTAAACTTCTCTCTCAAAGAAATGAGGAACAACATTACCTAAAATATATGGTTCAGTATGTAGGGCAAAGAGTTTTCTAAATCATAAGCTTACCTAAAAGGCATTGTTAGTTATATTTTATACAGAAAAACAACTACCAAAAGAGAATTGCTTAATATTTTATTATAAGATTTCTTAAAACGTAGAAAAACAAGATTCTCGCGAATACCTAATTAAATAAAATCTGTTGTGTTATTGTATGGCAAAACTTGAAACAAGCTTTCTATATCAAGCAAATTGTAAAGAAATAAAAAATTGAAATTTCTAGGGTTGACCTGGCTCTCTAACAAAAAGTTGGTTTCAGTTACCCCTAAATTAATAGCACAGCTTGCGAAACTGCGCAAATCAGAAGTTTGCTTTACTTATCGCACGTGATTTTACCACCTGCGACACATCAAGTATTTGGAAACCGTTGCAATATCCACAACCTTCATCTAGTGGTGCGAGCACCACTAATTTGGCTGCGTAGTCTAATAGTCCGATTTCAAAGCCGAATTGTGTGCCAAATACCACCCGGGCCATGTATTCTTCGTGCCAGCTTGTCTCACGACTTTCTGTAATTACATCACATTATGTTAATAAGTTTCTATTTCGGTTTCCGAATTGCAGTGATAGTGTCATCAAATTTTTGTTTTATTACCCGTGGGTCTGTAAGGAAATATAAGTTAGCATTTTAGATAAACTACGTTACAATATGGTTTTATTTAGGGACACCTGTATGATTTTCAAGAAACTTTTTGTCTCGCATAACTTATCTGTGGAACTAATTATCACTTGCAGTGTTATCGCACCGATAGCACATTCAAACCTTCATAAAAAGAGCGTACTCCTACCTCAAAGATCGGTAATGGGCTTGTGATTCCTGAACTGTAGGTGTTCATGGGTGGTGGTAGTCACTTTTCATCAGGTGATTCGTTTGCTCATCATCATCATCATCAGCCTATCGCTGTCTACTGCTGGACATAGCCCCCCCCCTATTGCATGCCACTTCGATCGATTTTGCACCCTGTGTAATAAAAAATAACCTGACCTGTTAAATTCCATATTAGATATCTCGTACTTAATGTGAACTTCTAATTTCTAACTGATTTGACCGCACGGATGGCGTAGTGGTTTAACTGGTCGCCACGCCGCTTCCTATTGCGACGAGTGTTGTGGGTTCAAACCCCACATTGTGATAACACTTTGTGTGATCCACAAATTGTTGTTCTGAGTCTGGGTGTACTTTGTGTCCGTTTCATGTATGTTTGTAAAGTCCCCCGCGACACAGGATTTATTCCTAGTGCGGGGAGTTGTCTTTTTACTAAAAAAAAAAGTTATCTTCCTAATTTAATTATTAAATCAAACTACTAAACACTTGATTAAACTTACTTTTGTAATAGACTGGCAACACCTTCAAATATAAATGCAAGTATCGAGCTGTAGATTCATGAGCAGTTACTGCTATTATGTGGCAAGGCGGTGCTGTCTTTGCCAATAGTCTGGCCGAAGCACCTGACATTGTCAACACTATTATGGCTTTGGCTTTACAATACAGCGCTGCAGCGGATGCACCAAAAGCAGATGATATTGGTGGGAGGACTGGTGTCTTCACCTGCTTGGTTAAATGGGTTAGATTATATTTTTTTTAATTCATGCATATACGGAAAGATGTGTGAATAAACGAAAATGGGGGTGGAGGCAGGAGAAAAACTATTTTACGAACTATTCTCATACCTACCAAATATACAAAGTAAAGTAAAAATATAAATATAAAAGTAAAGTTAGTACAGTTAAGTTAAGTAGAGTTTAAAATTTCGAGATATTTATATATTAGAAGATAAATTCACATGCCATTCATAAATATCACTACTCTGCAATAAGACTGTTCATTGTACTGTACTGCTTTATACTGTCTATTTTTCTACTGTTACACCCTTTATAGTGGTAACTACATTATATATACTTATACTAGCTCTGCTCGCTTAATTATTTCTTATTTCGCGTTTCTAACTTTCAAAATGACGAACTTCCATACAACCATTCATAACTTATTTCACCATCTTAGAGGTAAAATTTCCAAAAATCCTTTCTTCCTTCCTATCACCCACTGCTCGCAACATAAAAAGTATCAGCTGCCAAAATTTTAAGTTTTGTAGCTTTTTAGAGTAGAGGTTGAGGCTCTGCATTGATGCATCAGTCAGTCAGACAGGGCTTTATATTACATCAAATTGTATTGTATTATTTTGTATTATAATGTTGCATTGTATTAAATTTTATTATATTAAATACTCTCTCCATAAGTGTTCATATTTACCTGAAAGCTCCAATCGAAATATTTCTTGCGACGTTTAATATCTTGCCGTGATAGTTCTGTGGCCCTCACAATAGCTCGTATGAAAGTTTCAGCTGATTTTCCAGCACATTCAACAACCACGACACCGTCTAGCCCGTAGTTTATTATGTTGTTGGTATGAGTGAGAATTCTACGGGCTTGTGACTGAGAAATGTCATTGTGGTAATCTTGCACCATGTTTGATTCAATGTGGAACACAGGTTTAAAAGCCTGGAAAATCGTAATTGAAAATCGAATAATTTATAACTATGTCCTACGTTTATATGCATGCATACATATCGATCATGAAATTATAACCTTTATTTTCACAGTTGTCTTTATTCACACACAATTTATATATATTATGCACTTAGCTCAATTTTTAATTTTTTTATAACATTAATACTTTTAGAATTGCATAGATTACATTAATTTCATGTAATGCATCACTCTGTATAGCACGTTACTTATTGTATGAAACCTGTTGCGATTGGGTCGCCTGTCGGCAATGATCGGCAATGTCCGGCACCGTCGTCGGTGCCGTAGTACGCAGTGGCAACTAAATGAACCTACATACCAATGACTACCCTTATTCCTTATTACTTTTTTTTCGATATATGTAAGTATACCTGTGATATGTTGATGATGTTGTGATGTGTGTGTTTATATGGCCTTAGTCAAAGTATTAATTTAAAATAATTAACTACTTAAGTATATTTAAATGTGTTATTGGTGATTACACTGATGCACGAAAAACTCCAATTAGTTTAAGCGGCATCTTACTGTTTAAACTGTGTACCATATTTTGTAAAAGTAAATAAAAATAATAATATACATATATAAAGCAATAATTTAAGCCTTATTAGGTAAAAGGCTCATATATACCTTAAAATACCCTAAAATTCCGTCCAGACATGTGGTGTGTTGTGTCATAATGTAAAGGTTATATAAGACAAACATTTGAGGAGTGAATAAATATACACTTTCATATACATTTCGTCATTACTATTTGATATTCTGTCTATCTTAAAGAATACTAGATGAAGCACATCTTGTGGTGACGGGTTAAGAATACGGAGTGTCATTTTTTTTTTTTTAAAAGACAACGCCCGCATTAGGAATATATATTCCTGTGTCGCGAGGGACTTTACAAACATACATGAAACGGACACAAAGAACACCCAGACTCAGAACAACAATTTGTGGATCACACAAAGTATCGTCCCATGTGGGGTTTGAACCCACGACACTCGGCGAAGTAGGAAGCGGCGTGGCGACCACTTAAACCACTACGCCATCCGTGCAGTCAAACATTACACCTGTTCAACCCGTGAGTATCGCAAGACTCGACTAAGGGATCAATCTACGCAAGGCAATAGCACTGCAAAGAGAAGGAAAACTACCCTATAAGAACTGTCTGGCCATCGTGGTATAGTAGACCAATACCTATTTTCTAAGGAAGGTCCTATATCCAGCAATGGCCTATAAAAGGCTTTTAATGATAATGATGCGATTAAGTTCTGTTAAAAACAACGTTTATAGATTTGTCGTATATATCGACAGACAGAAAGCGTATGTGTATCTGTCTGTCTGTCTGCGTTAGTTCTCCTTTATATATTCGTTTTGTTTACCCTTTAAAGCGGCATGTCAAATGTGCTTTATATTTCACGCAGAAAATTACATGTCATTCAACATTACATTGCATCATAAGACAACCATAGACTAATTCACATCTAGGTATATTTTTTATAATTATATGTATCGACAACAATAACGATAAATAAAAAAAAATACAGTCGAATTGAGAACCTCCTCCTTTTTTTGAAGTCGGTTAAAAAATCCGGATAAGTGCGAGTCAGACTCGCCCACGAGGGCTTTATACAAATTTATTATAAATAGTTCAGGAATCGAGTCTCGCATTTTTTTCCGAGCTCTTCCCGAAATTCATTTTCCAAAACCTATAATTACTTTTATTGTGTTTTATAAGTGAATTTGTACCTCGATGATTGATAACGCACCTAATGAAGACTATATTTTTTAAGATTTAATTACAAATATACAGTTTTAAGATTTTTCCCTGTACTTGTAGTACAAGACAATGTTACTTGGCAAATTTCATAGTTCTAGATCAACGGAAAGTACCCGACATATGAATTTTTTGCGGCATTACGGGCCTATCTTGTCTTATATTAACCTAGAATTTTTTTTTTTTTTTTTTACTATAGTTATATATATATGGTTTTAATGATCCCTCCACGCATTACCGACATAACAGTCGTAAAAACCAGACTGACAGACGGACAACAAAGTGAATCTTTAAAAGTTTGGTTTTTTGCTTTAGAGTTACGGAAGCCTAAAAATAAACCTGATAAGTCTACCCGTATAGTTTAATTTGTCCATTCTTAGTCAGTAATCCTTCTGAGAAGTTCGTGACCAAAGGAGAGTTGTTAGGATATAAAATACGTGGTCACTTAAAGTGGCTCTTTGGTTCTTAGTCTCTGTCGCGTAGTTTGAATTGTGATAGAACATTTTATGTATCGTAATGCCCGATAGAATACAATAATACTCTTTTTAAAGTTTTTGCCAGAAACTTAATTTCTCAAAAGATTGACATGCACTTATTTTGTTTTTGAAATTATTTTATAACGTGACTACTATTTATTGGAAAATTGCCTATATATGGCCTTCCTTTCATTTAGGTGTGAAAAGCTGTAGTTTGACTTACCCTACAAAATAATGGTGTCGTTGAGATCTTAAAATCAATAATGAATGGATAGCAAAGAAACAAGACGTCATGTCCTTGTTTGATCCGTGATCCATAACTGTGAAGTGTTTGATTTTCAATTTTATATCTAACTAGTTTAGTAGCAATTTTAATTAACGACACTTTAAAGCCAATGGTTTTATATTTAACCATAATCCACGACGCCAACTATGCTACCTAGTTCAATAATATTGACGTGAACTTTAAGGTGTGTGAACTCACAAACAAACTCGTACAGGCAATGGACACAAAGAGAACCCAGACTTAAATCAACAATTTGTAGATCACACAAAGTATGTGGGGATCGAACCCACAACACTCAGCACAGTAGACATCGATGATGTGACCGCTTAAACCTCTGCGCCATCTGTGCAGTAATTTTGAATTGAAAACTTAAAGGTCTAGACCAGAGAAAATAGTCGATGTTATACATCGATGGTTAGACATCCACGTGTAGCGAGATATGAGGTAATGATAGCTATCGCTGATTCATCTACAATATACATAGTTAATAGAGATACGTTCTTCTAATACTACACTAACTTCTAAACTATCGCGTTCCATAATATACAATTATGTCTACGGGAATAAATGGGAATAAACCTTATTCATTTGCAAGGTATGTAATTAATACCTATCATGAGTGTTTTAATTCCCTTTATATACTTCTAATACTGTTAACACAGGTGCTTCTTAATAGTAATATTTTCCAATTAAAGATCTTCACAGATCAACATATCTACCCATTTTAAGTGCAGTATGATACGACGTACCTATCCTACATACGGCCTCACTGATATCCATACTAAGATATTGCCCATGAGGGTTTCCACATGAAAAGAAAAGTACTTCTTCATGGTTATAAATCTGTCAAATCCATTGGAAATCCTAGATTTAAGGTGTATTTAAGTTAGATAGAATATGGCTAAAGCATTCTCTAATATTTCAGTCAGATTCTCATTTATAGAAGAATATACACGTAGTCACATCATGTTGTGAACACCAACCCTTTTCCTCGATACGAGTACGGTAATAAAATAAAAAGATCTGAGATTGATATTTCATTGAATATGAATGTTGAATTTGGAATAGATCTATTCTAAGCAGACAATCTATTTATTTTTTAATGGATGCATATCATTAAAAAAGCGCAGAATGTGCTATTAAACCAACTTCAAACACTTGGCAATTATCAATTTGGATGTTTTTTTTTATGTATGTTCGAGCATAACTCTGTCATATATATAGACGGATTTTCAAAATTATTTTTTGTTCGCAAGGTGTTTACTTCGAAATGGTCCTACTTAAATTTCATATAGATCTGATGATGAGTTTCGGTGACAGAAAACGGCCTTTTCAAAAAATGACAGCAAATTAACCGCGATTGTTGCTAGGTTTAAGAGTTTTATTATCAACATTTTAATAATTGAAGTGTTAAATACAGTTTAATTTTCAATTTTCAAGTGTTAAATACACTTCAATTCATTTTAAATTAAAATGGTAATTTTTTAGCAAATATTTGGCGTGATTGCGAATCTGCTGTTAATTTTGAAACTTCTGTTATAAGGTAGTGCTGATTTAAAACCTTTGATAAAAATTACTCGCTTAATAATTGTATAAATATAACTTAAATTGAATACTGTATTGTATGTTTCATTTACAATATAGCATGAAATTTTATCTGACAACCGTACCTCTTTAGCGAATTTGAGTACACGCAAAAAATCACCCAAATTACTGTCCAAGAAATTTTTCTCTAAAATTATTCCAGCAGACCTCTGAAACAAATAATGTTCTATTATCAACCAATTGTCCTGTTCTTTTATAGTAAAATTTAATATCTTATCAACCTTAATTAATTCATTAAGATCATCAATTCCATAATATGAAGGCCATATTAAAATTGGCATCGACTTAAATTTTTCATTTTGTTTCCGAAATTCAAGCAGTTCTTTCATCTTTGTAATATCCTTTAAAATTACAATATCAACCTGAAACAAAGCTTTAATTAAATGTTTACTCTCAAAAGTAATGAGTCAGTTTGATGAAACAGTATCAAGGTCAACTTGTTTTTTTTTCACTCTTGGAATATCTACTTCGTGGATGGCGTCTTTGTTTTTGTTATATTTTAAACCACAATTTCAATAATTAGAGATTATTATTAGCAAGTGATCATTTTTAGTAAGAATATGTAATTGAACTATATTATTATACGTTGTAATTATTAATTTCTGTTTAATTTAAAAGTCTTTTCTTTTAAATTTGGTCAGCTTGACTTAATTAAATATCATCATCGTCATCATCAACAGTCTTTAACAGTTCACTCCTGGAAAGGAGGTTTATGCCTACTTTTAGGCTAGGTTTTGGTTTTGTCAGATGGGTTGGTATAAGGTTTGTTTCAAGTTTTCCTTCTCTTTGCAGTGCTGTTGTCCTGCGTAATTTGCTCCCTTAGTCGACTCTTACGACACCCACAGGATGAATAGACCCCTATTCATAATAACATTTCGTATTCTTAAACCGTCACCACACGGATTCATCTTAGTTAAATATAATACATCTAAAATATTATAACCATTTTTTTTTAAAAACAGCCATAGCAATCGGCATTACACAGACAAGGCGGTATATTTTAATCTTTCAGTGTTTCTGTAAATAAAAATACACCAGATGCTTACATGGAAATCACCAAACACAAGAATTTATACGTAGTTACTTTGCACGTATAAGTTTCTTCCATGATACTGTCATTTTGTTAAAAGCTTGTCATAAATTGTGTACGCATGTTGGAAAAACAGACACACGCCCTAAAAAGAACTCACATTGTCACGGCCCCTTTCTCACCCATAGAATAAGACAGAGTGCGACGTTTCATACACTTTTATTATTTAAACTCACTAACCCTGTCATCCAATTCGTAAGGTTCTTTCACAGAAATCGTGACTGAGAAACCGATCGGTCTGTAATAGTTACGAGAATATTCTTTCTCAATCTTCTCACTCAACAATAAAGTTTCTTTAACAGCTCGGAAGAATTCCTGATCGTGTTGTGTTAAATCCACATTAAAAATATTGACACCAGCATTCGTTAAAATGTGATATTCATAGCCATTTACATTAGGATCATCTGAAATGACAGTACAAAAGAAAAGTGTATAAAAAAAAAGTGTACTGGAAATTTTATGAATTGCTCCAGCACTTTTTAATTCCTTAGAGTTTACTACATTTTATGCACATAAACGGGTTAATAAGATAGGGATTGGAACGCCTAATCGAAAGGTTTCTGGTTCTATTCCCTCCCAACTCGTAGGGTAAATGCACTTAGGTAGTAGAGATAAGAACGAGCCTCAAATTATTTTCTTTCATGTGAAATAAAGTAAAGATAAACTAACAAACCTGTAAGTAAACATAGAACTAAAGTACCCGAGAAGTTGCTAAGCATATATTAAATATTTATGGGTGATTACAGTTAGTGTTCATTCAATTAATATTAGTAGATATCTTTCAGACAATTTATAATCCATTAATTTATTATAGAGTCTTCATTTTAGGTAGGGAATAGTTTACATTTTAGCGAATGTTACTTCGTTTTTTTCTGATTTCCATGTCTTTTATTTATTTCTTAATAGTATTAATCAAGACTACTTTAAATATATAACTCATGCCAATATACAGTAGTACTTTTAAAAGGATTCTGCTAAATTGTTATTAACAGGCATGTGTAGTATAACATCTTGCAACTGACTATAATTTAAATATTTTTTCTCATTATACACCTGCCACACATAAATCTCTGCATCACCCTAAGGTCGACTGGAAGAAAATGCCTATGGCATTAAATCCGCCTTATGCAATGTATTTGCAGGAAGTATAAATAAGTAAATAAATGTTTTAATTAAAGTTCTTTACCGTTTTTATATTTGTTAAAGCTCTTGAATATATTCTATATACTCACGTTTATATTCTTAGCCGGGAGAGCCATGCTTCGGCACGGATGGGCCAGCTCGACCGGAGTGATACCACGACCTCACAGAAAACCGGTGCTAAGCAATTCTTTCGTTGCCTTTCAATGAGTGAGTGAGGTTAATGGAGCTCAAATCCCCCTTCCCGCTGAGCGAGCTGAGCGGGAGGGACTTCAAGGTCGGCAACGCACCTGTGACTTTTGAGTTGCAGGTATCCATGGGTGGCGGTAGTTGCTTACCATCAGGTAACTCGTTTGCTCGTTTGCCCCCTTATACCATATAAAAAAATAGAATTGTATTAAAACGCCTACATTTTGCCGAATATAATTTTAATCTAAATTACATATTAGGAGGTAAGCCTTTTGCCGTTAGCCGAGGACATTAGGAATTAGATGAATGAATTGGGAGTTCGATATGAAAAGAAAAGATGGTAAGATGAAAAGCCTTAGTTGTATTACTTATCTTATTGCTTATCCGAATAGATTGTGGAGAATAAGCTTTACCTTAAGTAACTTAAGGTGCATACCGATAACAAGCTGTGGCCAAAGATCCCGGGCCCTCTAAAGTCTCATGATCTTGAACTTTATTTCATAAAAATATGAAAAAAAAAAACTTACTCTCTCTTTTAGCTTTTAAATCAATACTTACGGCAGTCATACATCACGTTAACCGTTTGAATGACCATATCTGGCACAGATTTAAAACATAACCACTCCTGAAATACAGATTATAATGAGGTAATATTATCTGAAGTTACTCTTATGCATCTAGTGTGTTCTACGCATTGAAATCGGACATAAACTTACACACAATAAGAAATGTCGCATTGAGAGTTACTACTCGATGTGATGATACCCATTAGTTAAAAGCAAGAGGACAATGTTACTTCTATCCCCATACTAAGACTTACAAGTTCAAGTTCTGTATTCACAATTGTATTCTTTCAAGTTACAATGATAAATAAAAGTTAGCAAGTAAGAATTTAATGATTACTTGTGAATGTTTAAACATGTTTCTTCTTATGATACTTAAATAACTGCCGTTATTAAAAGTTATATAATGATGATTAGTTAACATACCTTTATTTCATATTTACTTTTGTTGGTGTGCGTCCACCAAACCATTTTTAACAACCGTCGACTTTGAGTTTCAATCTGACATTCAAATCATGGCCCATACGATTTTATTTAATTCTTGCGATTAGAATATTTTAACCGTTAACCTTTAACCTGAATTATTATTATTTTGACTTGGTATTTACAAATAATTATGGTTTGCTAAAAATTTTGGTTATAAGATATTACGAACAGGAAGCCTAAATACACATAAAAAGGTCAAAGTCGAGTTCAAATTAAAATCACTCAAAGGAAATTGAATCTAAATCTAAACACTGTTTTCTTGATTAAAAAAAATCTGAACAAATATCTAATGAACTTAACATTTTTTATTACCACCAACTTTCGTATACTTATTACAATTGCCTTTAGAACGAGTAAAATATATTATTAAATTTCAAGTCTTAGACACTCAAGACAATATAAGTCAAAACTGACTCGCCTAGCTAGGAGAGCTAGGCGCGTCAGTTTTGTCTTACATTTTATAAAATAAAATTAAAATGGAAAATGTGCAACATAAGCTGATGGATTGTGAGAGGAATAAAATTAAACGCGAGACATCCTGAAAGAACTGAAAGCAATTTCTGTCCGTTCTGCACTGTCTTCAATACATCTCACTTATGATAAACTATCTTTTGCACTTGGCTATGTCGGTAAAAAGTAGGCCATGTTATTCGCTGATAATGTAGCTTTCCAATAGTAAAAGAAGTTTTAAAATCGCTTTAGTGGTTTAGGTTAACAAAATCACTTTCACAGAACGATTTGTAATATGCCTGATAATTTAAGAGACTGTTTAAGCCAAGGTGGATATGTTAAAACACTGATGTTTTTAAAGCTAATTAATCTGTACAAATTAATTTAAGTACCATCAGTGGTCGTTTATAACCTTAGCTGTTAAAAAGCGACCTTAAATAAATAAATTAAAAAAAAAACTTTCACATTTATTAGTATGGATTATAATAAACTGTAATTTTCATTCCTTTATTTACCATGTTTAGAGGTGAAATAATTTCTGCAAATTTAAATGGTACCGATCGATAATCGATTGAATCGGTTGTTTGAAATGGTTTTCTAATTGACACCATATCATGGTTAATATACACACTAAAAAATCACCTAGTTCCCGTTTTCAACATTTTTGGACTATTTAAATACCAATCTGCTCATAATCAACACTACAGTAATATAATAGTTTAATCACAGTCTCTTGAATTGAATGAAATTTTGAAAAAAAAACAACTTCAATGCGTGATGAATTGTAATAAACTGTATTCTTTCTTCTTCTCTTCTTCTTAGGGGTAGAATTTTGTCTTCAAATTGGCACCAAACGAGAAGTTACCCTTTCGAATAAGAATTTTCCAAATTAGTTCATAAATAACAAAGTTGTGTGGGGTAATTATATCGCAACCCATACTCAAACTCATCATGATTTAATATTCTTTATGTAAACGTAGCTATACCGTATATCATGTATTAACCACTCAATCATATGATGGTGATGATGATATATTTTGCATAGGATCAAAGAGAATGAGACAGCGTATCTTCAATCCAGAACCAGGACGTGACCACAAAAAATAGTACTAGATAATCAAGTGAAACTCATTGAATATATCATACTCAGTTGTGCAAGTCAAATGCATAACAAATTTTAAAGAAGCTATATTTATGAGTTAAAATGTGGCTACATCTATCGTGTAAGGGAGAGGCACTTCAATTTATGTGCGTAATTAAGTGGAGTTTGCGTTGGGGCTTCGGGCACTTTCTACCAGTAAATGAAATTTACGTACAGCTCCTTTCGAACGTATCTTCAGTTTTTGGTTCAAATGATCAACTTAAGCATTATATTTGTACTCAATTCAATTGCTAAAACTGATTGAACTTTATTAGAACGTTAAACAATTAAGAAAAAGTTTAAGATTTTTAAATGCCTTTTCATCAAAACCTCCAAAACCTCCTTTTAAAGGAGAGGTTTAAGTCCAGCAGTGGACTGTTATAAACTGTTGATGTGATTTGATGGTCATAAAGCTTAAACAAATATATATATTCTTTTCAATAATTAACAAAGCGCAAAAAGTGATGTGTATGAATTAAGTGATCGAAGTTAAAGAAACTAATAATCTTTGTATGTTTACATGAAATATGTGACTTGAATTATGACTTTCATTGGTAAACCATAATCAGAGCAAAAGTTTTACCTGAAAGAGGTTATGCTGGAATACACAATTTAAAATAATATCCTCCTCCTCCTCGCTTCGGTTGCCTCAATGCTGAGGGTCGTGACCGCCTCCTCGCAGTAAGAGTTTGCTGTGGATCACTCGACGTCACCCGTCCCTATCCGCCGCCGAGTGTAGAGCATCGTGGACTGTGGTGTCGAGAGTAGTGCGGATCTGCTCAGTCCAAAGTGTCGGGTTTCTACCTCGTGGTCTTTTTCCTTTTTCTCGTTTTTTTTTAATAATATATAACGATCAATATTTATTTGTTCGTTTTATAGAACACACGATCGTTGCTGTATCGTTCAATCGATAGGTTATATTTATAAAATACAAACAGGATTTTAGTAAGTGGCTGATTGTACAACAGACTATATTTATACTATACTTTAAAGGATGTATTTGTTACTGAGAATGCTTTATAACTGATAAATAAATAGTATAAAAAATATTTAAATCAATAAATTTAAATTTAAACGCTGTCGTCTATCACTTAGTACAGATAAAGGCTTTTAGTCCGTGCTGCAGAAGAAAGGGGTGGTGTAAAGATGCTGACTGCGCTCAATCACATTATTAATCTTTAGTTCACGGTTTAATAAAATAATGTATGTTTATTTTATATATGTTTGTGTATTTTATGTGTGATATAAGTTAGCTGTCAGATCTTGGCCTAATAGAGATAAGTACAGCAGATAATGAACATTTCTAACTGAAACTCAAGCTTTTAAAATAAAGCAAGTCTTCTTCTGATTTTGTTAAAATACTGACCTTAAAAAGCTTACCCTATAACTTAATGGGATTCAAATTATAAACAAGAAACGACATACACATTTCAATACCTTAGATTACACTATTTACAATTGTATTTTCGTTCTGGAACACTTGATTTATTTTAATTTGTATTTTTTGAGTTATTTCACTTTTCTTATGGGGATGAGTTATACGATTATTACTATTCTATTTTAGGCTAAGTTAGACTAGAGGTTCAAAGAGATGGGTGAAATAAAAAGAAAAAAATAAAATAACGGACTATTTTAGTAATTTCTTACAGTAATCAAAATTTCAACTTTGAAATTGTTAATCTTAAACGTGTTAATCTTCAGACTTATTAATTTCAGTCACTTTACAATTTTCATTTAGGCAAGTTCTTAATAAAATTAAGCACAATTCAAAATTAAATGTTTTGTAAAGATAATCCTATGTTACTTGATTTTAATAACTAAGCTTTATCAATAGTGAACTTAAGAAAAATATGTTAAGAATTATTTATATTCTTTTCACATAAATGTCAATCATTTAGGACGTGAGCACACTTTTTTTAAGTCAAGAAACGAGAAACTGTTCTTATTCAGTAGTTTAATTTTCTTACATAATTCATATTAAATGTGTTACCACATAATACTATAATGTACAAAGTTACGTAAACTACAGTTATGTAGATTTGTTTTGTTTAACAGCAACTTTTTATAAATGGCCTCTACGCAATGGCATCTGACCTCTCGCATTCTCCAACCCATTTCTTCATCTGGATTTTCTTACCTCATTTGCCTTCTCCCGTTATCTTGTATGAAAATCATCATATTTCCAAAGAAGATTGGTGTCAAGCCATAAAAGAAACCAGCTACTAATAGTGCTCATCATCTCACTCGCTCTATTCGTTTTTCTTTTTCTAATTTACCTCTTTTTCCTGTCTGAAAACACTTATATTCTTAATCAGCCAAGTGTATTTTTGCTCAAATCACAGAATAAATAATGGCACTAACCACGTCAAATAAAATTAAGATGGTGGGAATGGTGATTAGCTATTTTTTTTATTGGTAAACATTTTTTGTTAAACTACTTCCTTTCTGGACGGATTTTTTAATTACTCACCAATTACTCTAGTACGTGTGACGTTCATTGCAAACTGCATTTTCATGAAAACATGCTAGTAAACATACCTCACTATTCACTACATTTTCAATATTGCACAATGTCCCGCCGATTTTACCATTTATGTTGCAGGGACGTATGAAAATTAAATAATTAATAGAAGTTATGAAATTGTATGTAAATAAAACTGGAAACGTTATATATCAAAATAAAATGAAATAGAATAGGAAACTGAAAAGGTAATTATAATAAGTATTTTTAGTTAGACTTCCAAACTAATGTAAGTAATAAATAATGAGAGGGTGCCAATAAACAAACAAGATTATTAATTCTAAGTGAAACGCGAAATGTCGTCATAAAGTTGTTGATGTAATTGTTTGATGCTGACTCAAACAATGACAATAATTTGCTAACGAAATTATTTTCTATTAGATTTAAATCTAATAGAAAATAATTCATTGAGTCATACTTTTGACACAATAAAATAAATAAAACCAGTTTTGACATTTAGTTTCTTTATCAAAAAGATTGCAAGTAGAAGTAAAAGAACTAGGAAAAGCTTTAGGTAGCTTCTAAGAAAGGAGAGTATTGAAGAAGCTCACCAAGACACGTCTGTTTTTCTGTGGTCATGCGAAGTGAAGACCAGAGAATCAAATGTTAAAAAAAGTACCGCAAGTTAAGTTGGGACCAAAAAGTCTTGGCAGATCCGATTGACATGACAGCCTGACTAAGTGGCAGTAATCAAAAGAGACTTAGCTATTGACAACAAGCAACAACCAAGAAAGAATGTCTATGGAACAGGGTGATTAGGACTGGAAATGGGGAAAACCCGGACAAGATAGTTTTCTTAAACATGTACGACACAATAATAATGCTAAATCACATTGTGTAAAGTTTTCTTAGTTCCTAAAATACAAACCTAGT